TAATTACAGCAGTTCTTTTAGCATATCTTGCAGTGCTGGTTTGGTGTTAATATATTCCCTTAGGCTTTTTTTTTTTTTTTTTTTTTTTTTGTCTGGAAAGCTCTTTATTTGACCTTCTTCTTTGAATGACAGCCTTGCTGGACATAGTTGTCTTGGATTCAGATCCTTGTTTTTCATGACCTTGATTACTTCATGCCACTCCCTTCTGGCTTGTAGTGTTTCTGTTGAGAAATCAGCTGAGAGTCATATGGGGTTTCTTTTGTAGGTAACCTGTTGCTTATCTCTTGCTGTCTTTAGGATTCTCTCTTTGTCTTTAAGTTTTGGCATTTTAATTATTATGTATCTTGGTGTGGGCCTGTTGGGTTCTTCTTACTTGGACCTCTCTGTGCTTCCTGAACTGAAAGGCCTTCTTCCTTCACCAAGTTAGAAAAATTTTCTGTCAGTATTTCTTCAAATATATTCTCTAACCCTTGCCCATTTTCTTCCCCTTCAGGGACTCCTATGGTGCAAATGTTATTGCATTTCCAGTTGTCCCACAGTTCTCTTAAGCTGTGTTCCTGTTTTTATATTGTTTTTTTTTTTTCCTGTTGGCTTTCTGATTTGTTGATTTTGTCTACCCTGTCTTCTGATTCATTGATCCAGTCCTCATCTTCCTCTACTCTGCTGGTTAGTCCTTTCAATGTGTTCTTAATTTCTGCTATGTCATTCTTCATTTCCACTTGGTTGGTTTTCAATGTTTCTATATCTTTACTCATGCTGCTGCTATCCTTACTCATGCTGTTGAGCTTCCTCAAGATCACGGCTCTGAACTCTACCTCTTGATAATTTGCTTAACTGCATTTTATTGATCTCATCTTCAATAGAGTCCTCTTGTTCTTTCATTTGGGATTTGTTTCTTTGTTTCACCATTTTGTCTATCTCAGTGAGTTTTGGAGTCTGCCCAATTTTCCCTGTGCGTTTTGGTGTTTTGCTGCTTGTGGCTCCCTCTACTGGGTTTGAATGGGCCTGAGTGGGCCCACGTTAAACAGCACTGTGAAGTCTTACTTTCCTCAGTAGATTTTCAAGGCCAGGAAAGGCTCAGTTATGCTCTAGCTTTTTCCTGGAGGCTAGTAGCCTCAGTTAATCAGTGCCTTGGAAAGTAGCCCTGGTGTTCTGCATAAGAGGATTTCCAGAGGGTGGGATAGATGCCTCAATTTGCATTTCTTTACCTCACCTGGGAAAGGCTGAATCTCTGAGGGGGCCTGCTGCTTTTCCCCACAACACAGGAAAGGAGCACACTGGCCACCATCCTTTGTGGCCACAGCTCAGCAAAAACTCGGAGTGCCTTCCAAATGGCAGGTGTCCCCACAGAGTTTCAGCCCAGTCTGCCCTTCCTCTGCCGTAGCCCCCAGGTTAGTGGCTGTGGCTATTTTAGTGCTCTGCTCCAGCTCTCTGCACTGTGGTGTGGGCTTTGTTTTTATTCCCCAAGGGCGCTGCTCACAGCTAAGACTGCTGCTGTCTGTGGGCTCCCAGCCCACCACCCTGTGATGCCTCCACAGATCCTACCAGTGTCCCTGGTTATATGGTCCTGTCCTGCTGCTTTTTTCCGAGGATTTGTCTTTATTTTAGCTGTAATTCCCGTTTGGTCATGGGAGATCATCTGTGTAGCTTCTATTCACTCCGCCTTCATTGTCACATCCTCTATGCCTATCTTTTGTGCAGCTGGGTTGCACAGGCCTCTGTGGTGCCCCCACACTCTGCAGGTCCTACGGGTAATTGGATCGCACAGTCCCTTTGGGGATGGGCTCTATGCCTATGTGATGGGCTGCTGGGTTCCACAGGCCTCTCTGGTGCTTCAGCACCTCGCAGGTCCTGCCGGCAACTTGATGGCACAGTCCCTACTGGGTCACGCAGGCCTCTCTGCTGCTTCAGCATCCCACAAGTCCCACAGGTAACTGGATCACATAGTCTGTGCTAGGTCACATAGTCCTCTCTGGTGCTTCAGCATTCTGCCTGTCTCATGTGTAATTGGATGGCACAGTCCCTGCTGGGTTGCAAGGGCCTGTCTGGTGCTTCAGCACCCTGCAGGTCCCACGGGCATCTAGATCACAGTCCCTGGTGGGTCACACAGGCCTCTGGTGATTCAGCACCCCACAGATCAGCAGGTAACTAGATCACACAATCCCTGCTGGGTCGCACAGGCCTCTCTGGTGCTTCAACACCCCACAGGTCCCACGAGTAACTGGATCACACAGTCCCTGCTCGGTCGCACTGCCTCTCTGGTGCCCCTGCCCCCTGCAGGTCCCACGAGTGGGCAGCTGGATTGTACCATTCTCTCTTGGGCTCCGGCTTTCCGCTGGTCTTGTGAGCTGCTGGACTGCACAGGCCTCTGTGGAGGTCCAGGTCCCACCACTGGTGGCTGGGGAGTGCTGCTGCCCTGTGGGGCTCAATTCCTGCTCAGCCTTTGCTGTAGTTTTAGAGGATGGTTCTCTGCTGCTGATCTGTGCTTATGTTGCCTGGAGATGGATGTCTGCTTCCCAGCCTCTGTTGCTGGGGGGTATATCTGGACTCTGATCAGGCTGCTACTATGGGGGATGATGCTGAACCCCCGGCTATTTGCAGCTTCCACGACTGGTGCCTTGGGAACTCCTCTACTGTGCACTGGTCTGATGTTGCCAGGTGTGCTGGTGTGCTCAATTTGCTGGGCCATAGCTGCTCTCACTGCCTCCTCACAGAAAAGATCCAGGATCTTCCAAAATGGCGGGACCTCCCCTCGGTGCAGGGAGAAGCGTCCTGAGGAATCACTTACCATGGTAGCTGGCTGCTCTTGTCCACAGCCCAGGATCCTTCTGCTCTGCCTCTCTGCACTGCACGAGTTTGGTCATCCACTTTCATGTCCACTCACACTCTCTCACACACTAGCTCTCTCTCACACACACACCCTCCCTCCGGTCCTCCCGAGGATACTTTTCCATTTCTCTTCAGATAGAGTGAAAGGGAGGGAGGGAGGGAGGGAGGTAAACATCTATGTGAGAGAGAGACATCGACTGGTTGTCTCCTACACGACCTGACCAGGACCGGGGACGAACCACATTCGAGATAGGTGCCCTTGACCGGAATCAAACCTGTGATTGGTCCACAGGCCAACGCTCTAACCAATGAGCCAAACCAGCCAGGGCTCTAATCCCCTTTTTAAAAACTTATCTTTATTGTTGAATGTATTACAGATGTCCCCTCCTTTTTCCCCCATTGATCCCTCTCCTCCCCAGTTCCACCCCACCTCCTGCCTTCTCCACACTATTGTCTGTGTCTACTGGCTATGCATATATGCATATAAGTTCTTTGGTTTATCTCATCCCACCCTCCCTCACCCCTTCCCTTTGAGGTTCATCAGTCTAACAACCAATTTGTACTTCTTAATTTCTTCATCTTTTCCACTCATCCCCCCAGCCCTCTCCCATCTAGTAATCAACAAAAAGTTCTCTGTATCTATGAGTCTGTTTCTGTTCTGCATGCTCATTTTGTTTGTAGCTTCAATTGTTGATAGATATGAATTGCCGTTTTTTAAAAAAACTATTTTTTTCTTTATTAATTTTAGAGAGAGAGGGAGGGAGAATAAGAGATAGAAATATCAATGAGAGAGAACATCGATTGGCTACCTCTTGCATGCCCCCCACTGGGGATTGGGCCCAAAACCTGGGCATGTGCCCTGACCAGGAATTGAACTGGTGATCTCTTAGTGCATGGGTCGACACTCAACCACTGTGCCACACCGGCCGGGCTTAATTGCCATTTTATTGTTCATATTTTTGTTTTCTCCTTTAAGAAGACTCTTCAGCATTTCATATAATACTGGTTTAGTGGTGATGAACTCCTTTAGCTTTTTCTTGTCTGGGAAACTCTTTATATGTCCACTGATGACAGCTTTGCAGGATAGAGTAATCTTGGTTGTAGGTCGTAGCTTTTTATCACCTTGAATATCTCTTGCCACTCCGCTCTAACCTGCAAAAAAGGAGAAACATCTGTAACAAAAAAATAAATAAATAAATTTAAAATAAAAAATAAAATAAAATAAGCCAGCCTATCCACCAGAGAGATGGAAAAAGTGAGGGTGCTGGGCTGCTCAGCGGCCCACGGAGGGGAGCAGGCACAGACTGCATGTCTGGAGAAAGGATTTTGCTGATACAGGATACACCTGCAGTGCTTAGGCCCACAGAGTGATAAAAAGGCAGATTTCATTCAGAGACTTCAACCTTCCTGTTACATCCAACAAGAGTGGAGAAGGGATGACAATGCAGCTACAGATGATGATGAGACCTGGGACAAAGCCATTCAAAGTGGTCCCTGAGTACTGGGTGCAGCCCACACTCTGAAGTGCTGCCATGCAGCTTTGTAGGGCTGGCCAAAGTTCAGCCCTGTGTTTGAGTGCATGGTTGCTCTTGACAGCCCAGCAACTCGAGAGGGTCTTAGAGGGATGCTGTTTGCTGTGTCCACAGGCAGAACTCCTTTCCTGCAACTGCACCTTCAGCACCTTGCAGAGGACCCCTAGGTGGCTGCCCATCACCTTCACAGTAGCCAGTGGCCCTGAGGCAGGTGTGTCTCTGAGGCAGGGCTGCAAGTTTCTCTCTGGCCCTGAGAATGACCTCCTGTGGTCTTCAAATGAAGGCAGCATACAGGAATTGATAAGGTACTGAGAGAAGTGATTCTCATCAAAAACTCTCATCTCGCCCTGGCCAGTTTGGCTCAGCGGTTAGAGTGTCGGCCTGCAGTCCCGAGAGACCCGGGTTCGGTTCCCGCTAAGGGCACGTACCTCAGTTGCAGTTTGTCCCCGGCCCTGGTTGGTCGTGCGGGTGGCAGGCACTCGATGTGTCCCTTTCACATCGATGTTTCTCTCTCTCTCTCTGTTCCTCTCTCTCCCTCCCACTCTATCTGAACCAAAAATGGAAAAATATCTCTCAGGAGAGTATTAAAAACAAACAAACAAACAAAAAAACCTCTCACCTCTATGCAATCTTTTCCTTCTACGTCAGTTTTTTCACTCATGAAATAATCTTGTCAATGGTTAAGGTTGTGCGGTCCACAGCATTGGCAATGCCACCCAAGGCCTCATCCTGTCTTTCCAACTCCGCCTCAGCATCCAAGACAAGACCCTTCAGCTTCCCCAGGATCTGGAGAGAAGTATAAAGACAGGAGGGGCTGACTTTCCTTAAACTCTCAAAAACAGACAATATTTCTTTCCATCATTTTTATAATACTTAAGGAATTTTGTGAGTCAGTGGAGATAATGTGTCCTCTGTCCCCATGGTGGAGCACAGAGCCAGAGGTTGGGTTGGGGTCTAAGCTAGGCTCTGCCACTGACTGGGGAGCTGTTGGAAGATGATGTGTTTGTCCCTGGCCTTGCTGCAGGCCACGGGCAGCAGTCTGTTCCAACCCATGGTATGCTGTGTCACCAATGCCTTACCACATCCATGAGGAATTCCGGCTGCAGCAGTGGGGTGACAAGCATAGGAGAGCCAGAGATCTGGGGCCAAAAGTAGGATCCAAGTTCCAGCTCCTACCTAATCATTGTGTTCATTACCTGTCTGCACCCAAGTACCCAAATGCACACTGAAGCTCAAAAAACAATATTTAACAAGAAAAGCAAAATACTTTTCTTGTCTGTATGTTTGAAATATTTCACAAATACAAAAGGCAGAAGAGAACATAGCACAAATAACCCAAGTCACACAGCACAGTCCCCTCTACCTCCCTATGCCCCAGGCCTGAGAAACTGAGAAACAAGGGAATTAACCAGGAAGCACAGGGCCTGGGGTTCCAGGAGGTAGAGAAGGAACCAGGGTGAGTAGACATGAAGGGCACAGAAATGCCACAAACCATGATGGGCAATGCGGCAGGGGAGGCCAGCAGGTACCCACAGGGTGAAGGTTGCTGTAGCTTGGCAGAATGGGGGAAGCAGATCAGGCTAGACTGAAAGCCCCCCCCCCCCCACTGTGACTCATGTCATCCTTCATACATGTTCTTAAACCAGAAAGAGTGGCCATTTATGACAAGTCTACTCAGACAAACTGCATTGTGAAATGTACTTTAACTACATTCTTACTGGGTCTGGGGTAAAAGATGTAATATTCTCAAGCTGACAAAAGGAATGGTTTTAAGAAAAATTATAATGACTAATTACTTGCTATAAATGTTAATGCCTCTTTTAGGAAAACTTTTGATCATGGTTGAGAAGCAGGAACACAGAAGATCAGCATGAGGGGCCATGGAGCCTTGCTTGTCCCAGGAGTTCAACTGCCTTGTCACACAGGTATGGATATCAGCAGTGAATAGCCTGGATGACCACCCCAGAAGACCCCCAAGTCCAATATATTGACAAAACATCAAACCCCACAATGATATCAGCTCAGGTCCCAGCAGATGGTGTGGGACACTGCTACCCCTGGGAGAGCAGAGTGAACGGCACCATGTAGTGTCAAGAGGCAGGAATGGTACCTATGTGGTCAAATGGCAGCTCTGTGCTTAGAAGCACAAGAAATGCCTACCACCTGGCCACCACCCACTGCCTGGGGTCACTACTTTGTCTTATCAACAAGAAACAGAATCAAAGTAGAATGATGGCCAGGAGGATAATAAAGTCAGCTCGTTCTCCAGGAATGATGAGGTTCCAATGAGGTTCCAAATGTGAACAAGCTGTGAAAACTATGAGGTGCTATGTGTGGTATTTCAGCCACGTCTTAGTACGCTTGGACCGCAGGAGGCCAGGGCTGCCCCATCTGTGGAGGGGACAGGGATGAGCAGAGCTGAGGTCATCCACATGCAGTCACATGCAGGTTGATGGCAGAGAAAGGACTCACCCCACATCTCTCTCCAAATACAGCATTATCACTGGATCGTCATCATGAGACATGAGTAAACTGTGACCCAAGTCAGCAGGCTCAGGCACCACTTTTCTGTACCCTCTGGGAGTTGGTGGAAACTCCATCAGTTGAATCACTTGAAAACTAGATGGTGCTCTGGAAAGTACACCGTGGGGTCAGCTGGTTCTGGAGGGGCTGGGCTGGATGACCTAATACAGGAGGTCTTTTCCATCTCTCAACTGAATTTCACAGGGCTGAGGCCCAAACAGCATACTAAAAAAGGCAGTGCTCACAACCATGTCACGCAGGTCCTTCTATGCCATTTTCTCTTGTCAACCATTCCCAAACTTACCTCCATTTTTAGTGTGATAATAAGGCTGCTCTACCAGAAACTTGTACAAAATGTTCCCTGGAAGCCTGGCCTTGCCACACATGTACACCTGATTTGACACCCCTGAGGTATCTTTCCTGCACTGAGTGATCAGGCTGCCCATATTTCTGCAGCTTTCTCTGCACCCTCTATGTTTGTCAATCATATCAAAGTATGGCCAAGTTAACATCCATTTGAACTGTCCCTCATGCCCCGGACTGTAAACGGTCACCCTTGTGCCATGCTAAGGATGGAGATGGGCTCTCAGAAGGCAACCACTGTTCCCCTCAGTGCAGATCAGGATACAGAACTTAAAGAGTCCCCCAAAATCCATATCCACACCAGGGCCTGTCAGACAAGCACTGTCAGTGATTGTGGTGGTGCCTTCCCTCTGCTTCCTTCCACCCCAACATCCACTCTCACAGAAAAATAAAATTGGTCTTAAAGTGTGTACACAGATTTGTTTTCTGTTTCCTTATCCCCTAGTCATCCTAAATAAGGCTGAGTTATGGGGTCCTTGAGATGTGCCCTAACTGTCCTTTTTCTGTTAATCTTCAAAGTAACTCTGCTTCACAAACTAGGCTGAGGGTGCTGGGTAACTTGTCTGTTTCCTAAGCCCTTGGGGTGTATCTCCCCGTATAGCCCTGACATGATTATCATACAGATAACAGATGTCATGATGCAATGACTCAGGGGTGACAACACTAGGATACTGAGAGAAATAAAAAATACCCCTTAAGAAATTGGCAAAAGGGCACCACCAAGACTGGCAAGCCATTCACATACCAAGGAAGGCTAGGACCCAGGATGTGTGCTTGGCAACTGTGGCAAGATGTCCAGTGTAAGGAAAGCCAACTTGTTATTTAAAATTTTCTAATACAGTCAAACCTCGGTTCTTGATCATCCCCCATCTCGAACAATTCAGTTCTTGACCAAGTTGTTCACGGGAAAATAATGTCTTGGTTGTCAAATAAAACTTTGGTTCTCGACCCAACAACCCTTTCATGCTGATACCTGTATGATCATGTGCCTCTCAAGCAACAAACAAAGGAGAGAATGTGAGAATACGAGTCAGTTTACCACTAAATCTTGTGTTGTTAACATCTCAGGAAATTGTGCTGCATTCTAATAGGAAAAAAATGATTTGGTTTTCAAACAACTCACTTTTCGAAGAGCCTCCTGGAACAAATTAAGTTTGAGAACCAAAGTTCCACTGTACACGCATTTTAAAAAGTAAAAATTGATGAGCATAATTAATTTTTAAAATATATTTAATTTAACTCAATCAACTCAAAATATCATTTCAACATGAAATCAATATAATTATTAATGACATATTTTATAGTCTTTTTATATAAAGTCTTAGCAAGCTGGTGTGAATGTTTTTTATATATATATACACAATAGCGCATCTCAATGTATTCCATATAACATGGGATGGAAAGAATGAAGAATAGGAAGACTGGCCAAACTTTAAACACAGTTGTTACTTCTGTGGCCCAGGATTACAAGCTGTGTAGTTACTGACACAGAATACTGCCAGCCTCTGAAATATCACCTGGCCTCTCAGATGGGTCTTCACTGGGCTCTGAGTCAAAGACCAGGCTCAAAGTGGGCTCTTCTCCAAGTCCGTGTGACATTGATAAGTAAACCCAGGAGCCTTCTTTCCAGCCATATGCATACCTATGTAGAACTACCTGATTTAAAGAGCATTGAGTTTTACAAGAAAATAACTTTATAAACTCCAAAGACATATACAGTGCACTTAGTAGATGCAAGATACAAAAGCATGTAAGCCAGCACTGCCCAGGTATAGGGTCATGAAGAAACAGGGGCACAGAGTGTTCCTTAGCTTGGGAGTCATAGGCACCCCACAAAGCCAGTGCAGGGGACTCGGTCCTACAGGTAAACGCTGGGTCTGCTCACCAGCATCAGTAACTGGGAATGAGGCAGGCAAGAAGACTCAGGCAGGAAGTGGGAGGCATTATGTGGCCCCCAGGATAGAGCAGACATACTGTCCTTTATGAAAGGGGAAGAACCCCTGCATGGGTCATACACTATGGTGCCTCCATTCCCTGACACCAGATCTTAGGACTGAGCACAGGCACTGTCTGGGTCAACACGTGAGTGGACATGGAGACATTTTAGCCTTCCAACCACTTCCATCTTGTTTAGAAAACATAAAATAAGTTATGGAAAAGTAGCTCATCCAGTAAAGTAGGTCTACTACCAAAACAAACATGTTTAAACGTCTGGCCTCACCCGAGCCATCCGGACCCCGGGCTCTGCTGTGAGCCACACCTCCAAGGGGGCCCTGAAGCATCTGTCTTACTAAAGCAAGGGAAGAACACGGTACAAAGAAGTAGGGGCCTTGATGTTTCCAAAATATCTGTAAAATTCTGATTGTTGTCTCAACTTATAGTCAGAAAAAAAAAATGTTTTGCTCTACCTCATGATAACAACTCCAGGATTCAGAGTATTACTATATTACTATTAAGCACTTAAAGTGAGTTTAGTATTAGCTAGATTGTCTGCCTTCATCTTGTTATTAAGCTTACTCATTGCTAAACTGTGAATTTTCTAGCACTGAGAAATTAGCAACCATTTAAGAACAGAGCTGGAATAAATCAAGCTGTCTGCAACTTCAAATAGTTCTACCAGTTGGGGCCATTAATATGCTATAAAGAAGGGTAAAAGGGAAAAATCGGCCTCCAGCAGAGCCAACGCTCTAGAGACTGTAAAGAACGCTAGGCTACAATATGTCATTCAGAACTCTTGGACCCCCCCCCCCCCCCATATCCCATGAGATCCCTCTGTTGCATTTCTGAGGCCCTGGCCCAGGGTTCTCTTAAAGGGATCCCATGTGCTCCCTTCCTCATGCCTTCTTTCAGTGCAGAGGGCAGAAGAACAGAACACAAACTTGCTTGATGAATCAGGGCTG